GGAGGACAGGAGAGACAGCCAGGGGGCATATGCTTCCTGAGATTTCTGTGCCCACAGCAGGGCACAGGGATGCAGCAAGGCCAGACCAGCTCCAGGCAGCCGCCTCCATGGCCCAGCGGGAGAAGACCCAGTGCTGGAAGGCGAGCTCTGCCACCATGGTGAGGCACTGTGGGGGTGCAGAGTTGTGCCCCCACTGCTGCCAGGCGGTCAGGGGGTGCCTCAGCTTGACAGCCATGGCAGCATAGTGCTCCCTCTCATGCCATGTACCCACACTGGGCTGCAGAGGTGGTTCCTGCCTGCAGCTCGTCAAGCCCTCCTGCAGCCCCATGCCCCACTGTGGGTGCAAAAATCTCGGGGGGCATGTGCCCTTCCACCACGTGGCCTGTGTACTCCCCCACCTCCCCACCATGTGGCCTGTGCTCCCTCTCCTTCTGAGTGGCCTGGGCTCTTCCCTCTCATAGACTTGAACACATGCACATGCATGCATGATTCCTAATCTCCCTCCTCCCACTGCCCGCAGCCCCAAGCAGCCCTTTGCAGGCTGGAACTCTGCCTGCTTGCAAGGGGAAACCTGTGGTTCCCAATGTTTTTCTCTTTTAAAGGGGAAAATTTGTGATTTTCTCTGTTAAAAGAGAAATCTGCATTTCTCCCCATTAAAGGAAAATTCCACATTTTCCATAGCAAATAGAAAACCTGGATCCCTGGTTATAATGAATCAGGTGACATATGCTCATAAGCACAAAACTACTCCATCTCCTTCTAAAATGGTGTAAGTATTTCATCTGTCTACAATCTCAGTTTCCTAAAACTAATGACATTCAGTTGGCTTCAACAGTCTATTAAATCTCAAGATTTTTCCAACTTCACATGGTACTGACTGTCATCTGTATCCAAGATGACTCTGAATTTAAGACAACTCTCCAATAATTAGATTCTATATGTGGAAAAGTGATAAACTTGTAAGTATTTTCCATGTATAGAATCTAACTGTTGGAAGGTCATCTTAAATTGGTAAGCTCCGTGTGGGTGGGTGCTTTGATCAGTTTATGCATACAAATACAAAAATTTCAATTCATATAGGTGTATGAATTTTTTTCAGAGGAAAAATTTCACAAAGAGCTGCTTTTAGCTGTTCTCCAGACATATAGTACAGAAATGAACAAAAAGCAAAATCATTTCAACATAAAAAGCCAAACAATATCAGTTATATTAAAAACTTAATGTAAGATAATTAACCAGAAGAGTAATGAAAGGAAAAAAAGCTCTCAATATAGTAGTTTACAGAAAAACAATTTATCTCCAGTTTCCACTACAGCACTCCTTGAAAGTTCAACTTTCCTGTGTATGAACACAACTTGGGAGAGGCATTAGCATTAGGATCAGACATTCAGATCGTCTCAAGAACTTGAATTCCAGTATAGCTCTTCCATTATAATGAAGTCAGATAAATAACAGACTAAATGCTCAGAGGAAAGTAGCTGAGAATCTATCCTATTAAATCACTGGGGTGGTATCTGTTTACAGGTAGGACAGCAATACTGTAGTTATGGGCACAGACAGAAGTGACAATTTATGCCCAATCTGGCCACAGAAAGCAATTTATAGCCAGGACCAAACACAAGTAAGTGCACAGCTGCAGACAGGGCTGACTGGGTGACCCCACATTGCACAAGGGGGTCAGATGCAGACATTTAAAAAACAGAGCGTCTTCCGTAATTTCTGTCTGCGTTGCCCGCCAGCCTGTTGCTGTTTTCAGAATGGGAGGGGGGAAAGGGTGCAGAGGAAGTTTGGTTTGGGGGGGTTTCAGCCCCCGCTGGAGGGTGGGGCGGGTGTATTGGAGTCCCCCCTAGAACAAATGAGCTCCCTCTGCTCCCTTTCTGAAAATTTTACAGCCTAACGGGGAGCAGGGGCCACTGCTAGAGGAAACCAGCTGCAGGCTCCCAGGCAACAGCTAGATTCTCCTCCCCCCTGGAACCAACAGGGAACTTCTGTTTGTTCCAGGAGATTGTTTTAACTAAGAACACTTCCTGCAAAGCGTTCTCAGTTACAGTGGTGAGCTGCACTTCTGTCTGCACCCCAGATTCTTGAGGAACCTAGAGTCTGGTCCTAAACCTAGTGCGTATATAGTAAGATAAAAGAGCATTCCAAAAGGCTTAGTTTTTAGTGCATGCTGCTGTAATAATCAGAAGAAAATGGTGTTTATTTTTGTAAATGTCTGTGTTGACAGAGATTAGCGGGCAGTGGAAAAAGGAGAAAAAATATATATTGTTTATTGTTCTTTACTACAGTTCTCCCTGGTTTAAGGCAGTAAAGTAACTGATACCATCTGTCTCTATTCTGACTTAAGTAGAACTTTGCTTTTTCTGTACTAGCTGAGCCACCAGTCCAAATACATTTTCCTTTAAAAGTGTATGAGATCTCTAACGGTACCTGGGTATTAAGGTTGAGTGTAAAACATCATTTCTTATTTTAAAAAAATGAAAAAAAATTGACAGACTAAAATCGTTCCACCTCTATCCAATGTTGCGTCTTTGAAATACATCTTAACTCGGACTTTAAATCCATTTAACAAGAGAATATGGATATCCAGTAAAAACAAAAATGTTTTTATGACAAGCTTCTATTATTCTGGTTGAGAGAATGAGATGGAGAAGTACCAGTGATTCTTGCACGACAAATAAGAAAGTGTGAAAGGATGACAGCATGTGGGAAGGAAGGAAGAAACCCTGTCTATACCTTGTGAGAATAACTTAATGAACCAGGTACTTACACAGACCTTTCCCTCCCCCCCTCCCCCTTGTCTCTCACTTACTGACCACCTCAATTTACATTTTAACTGATTGGCTTTCTTGCATACATACTGGCCTCTGGCTGCTTTACCACTCCATCCAGGAAGAGCACAGACCATCTGCAGACACTTCCCTCAGCCTGGTGAAGGGTGTTTGTGCCCAAAAGCTTGCTAAGAAGAATTTTTCCAACTATTTGAGTTGGTCTAATAAAAGATATTGGATTTACCCAAAAACCTTTTCTTACAGACCAAGGCACTCAGAATTGCTTTTACTCTTGGTAAGACAATTACTACAGTTGTTTAGTCTACTCCTTGCCCAACACAGGGTTCCAAGATCCTCTTATTTCAAATTATTTTGTTAATTAGAAAAAACCCTTTACTTGGGAATAGCCTCTTCACTCCTTTCCACATCTTTCACGCACATGTTGCCACTGCTCTATCTTGAAGCAGCTATTTAATCAAACAGAAAATTTAGAGATCACTATCAAATGATAAGCATGATAATGCTCATTAAAGATGCTTTCATTTACTGAAGTCCATGGACACTACCAAGGAAGTCTTCTTTATTATGTTTTTTCCTCTTTGGTTTAGAGTGGGGGACTTTATAAGTCCCTCCTCCACTATGGTAACCCTTCATTAGAACAGCAAGAATTGAGAAACCTATCCAATTTAGTTCCTTTTATTTCTTTGTTTTGAGAAAGTCTGCATTAAGAAAATGCCTCTGCTACACCAACTCTTAAATCGCAGACAGCAGAAGGTAACAGTACAAAACTCTATAACTCCGGAAATGGAATTATAGCTTACCTTGTTTTCCTCCAAGAATTTCAGTTTGATAGATACATCATTGCGCATTTTGTCATATTTTTCTTTATGCATTTGGAATAGCTGCTGTGACTGCTCAATCTTTGGCAGAGTATTTGCATCACGAGGGCCAAGATTCAGTTCTTCTAGGTCTGTGCGATAGGCATCATACTCAATCCTAGGGAAGTTGAGGGTGGGGGAAAAAAAAAAAGTTAGAAGTCAGCCCTCAGCCTTTCAACTGCTGCACATTCCCCCCTCAACCAAAAATGAAATATTGGGAAAAATATTCAAGTGCACGAATAAAGATGCTTGACCAAGTCCTCTGTTTATCCAGTTCACTCAGATGATTTTACTCTAGAAGCTCAACCTAAGGTCAGATCTGGTCAGGCCACAGCTGAAGTACTGTGTCCAGTACTGTGTCCTAACCAACACTGGTCAGGCCACAGCTGGAGTACCATGTCCAGTTCTGGGCGCCCCACTTCAAGAGGGATGTGGTCAACATTGAGAGGGTCCAGAGGAAGGCCACCCGCATGATCCGGGGACAACAGGGCAAACCCTACAATGAGAGGCTATGGGACCTGAACCTGTTCAGCCTTCACAAGAGAAGGCTGAGGGGGGGATCTGGTGACTGTCTATGAACTCACTAGGGGGGACCAGAAGGGTTTGGGGGAGACCTTGTTTCCCCTAGCGCCCCCCAGGATAACAAGGAATAACGGCCGCAAGTTGTTGGAAAGTAGGTTTAGATTAGACATCCGTAAGAACTACTTCACAGTCAGGGCGGCTAGGATCCGGAACCAAATTCCAAGGGAAGTGGTGCTGGCTCCTACCCTGGGGGTCTTTAAGAAGCGGCTTGATGCCTACCTGGCTGGGGTCATTTGAGCCCAGTTTTCCTCCTGCCCAGGCAGGGGGTAGGACTTGAAGATCTACAAGGTCCCTTCCAACCCTACTTTTATGATTCTATAAGGTGCCAAGCAGCTACACTGAAAAGCCATACCCAGTATAGCGTCTGCACTGGTAGCGAGTTTACCCATAGGTCTACAGCACTTCTGAAAGGACATCCCATGGTTCTCCGTGCTTCATGAAGCCAGAGCCATGCTAATTCTTTCCCAATCAATTGTAGGAGAACTGCCCTGCCCTGAACAAATAGAATTAAATTGTGAAATGATACTGGGGGGATTATTCAATCCCAAATACTTGAGTATGTTTCCTCACATTTTTGGTCCAGAGCTCCAGATAAGCCTACTGCCTGAACTGAAGGCACCACTTAAAATATAGTATAAAGATTTTTAGTAATGATAAAATAAGACCCAGAGTTCACTCTGAAGTGAAGATACAAGTTAAGGGACTGTTTCTAAGAGGTAATAATGTAGGAAAATCTGTTTATCCAAACTTCGATGTCTCTTCTACAACTTCAAATTACTGACAATTTTGATGATGGCTTGAAAGTTTGGTACCATTAAGAAAAGGACTAAAATAATCAATTCATTATATCCTTAGCTACTATGAGCACAAGATATAATTTAAGCTATACTGTGAAACAAGAGGATCTGAGACCCTATACCAATAAGTGGCATGTGTTGTTTAATCCTCAAATATTATTTCTTTTAAAATTTCAGCTATACAGTCCATTTACTTTTAAAGTTTAAGCCTGTAAGTGAAAACAAACCTGAACTCTACGATTAAAAACTTCCCTGACATTCTCAGATTGTACCAATTATAAGTATCCAACTGATTTATTCCACCAACCATATAGCTGGAGGGTTTGAAGTACAAAGGTACTTATTAGGCAAATAAAACTGTGCAAAAGGTGGAGAAGGGGAGGGAACCCTTGAGTCTCAGTTCTGAGAATCATGTCCAACAGACTACTGAACTTTGGGTTCTCAGCAGCAAGGTATTTAAAGTAATTTTACTTCACTAAAGTACTTTTCCACAACTGAAAGAGACTGATAAATGGAATACAACTACAGTTCCTACCCAACATGCATCCTTTCTCCTGCAGACCCATGAAATTTACTGGTTACTACCTGAGCCCTGCAGTCTTTCCTGCTCAAGTGCAGGGGGGTTGGACCTGATTATCTGTATGGTCCCTTCCAGCCCCTAACAAGTATGAAACTATGATTAAGTGCCAGACAAAGCAACTGGCCTCTGGTCAGAGACATTCAGATGCCCTGCAATGGGCAGCCTTCCCTGGAATCCCCTATCATTCTGTACTTTTTGCACCTTGAGATACTAAGTTCTACTATTTTTGTCAAGTATTATAGAAGCTGAGCAAAGGCACCAATTCCCACACCACAAGGAGAAATAAATAGATTTGTTAAATATTAAGAATTGTAACACCAGGATAAACTTGTGTCAAACATGGCTTTTCAGTGTAAGTGGCAAAACTGCTCCACGAGGAAGTTAAAATGTTTTTAGAGAAAGTGAATTAATTTTCTATCACTCAGGCTAAAACCAGACAATCTGTCTGATTCCCCTATGAGCTTTGCAGTAAACCCCAGACCTTACAGATTGGACAATCCCATTGTCCCACATTAAGTACCCATGAAGTATCCCAATTAACACTTTGCTTCAGAACAATTGTGGCTAATTCAAGTCAAATTCCATTTAAAACTTGTCCCACCCCTGTTTTGATGCAAGTCATATCTCAGCCTAATCATCCCAAGATTAAACCAGTTGGCTGTTTATTCTCAGAGGGGTATGGTTAGCTCTCAAATAGGTTTCTTTTCTAAATATTTTACAATTTAGATTTCATATCTAATATACACACCCACACACAGATATGGGCCAGAAAGGACCAGTGCACATCAAGGAGATCAGTTAATTTGACCCATTTTTTGGAGATGCCTGCTAGAAGTTTGACTTAGATCTGAAGAATTATCATGAAAACACACAATGGATCAGTCTGAAGATGGGTAGGAAAAAGGACAAACAGGCCTTGCTGACCAGCATCAATGACAGAGAAGATGAGAAAAAGTAGAAAACATTAGACAGGCAAGCAGACAGTATTGTAGAACAGTTATCCAAGGTCTTCAAAAGTTATTGCATAGAAAGAAAAAGAAAACAATCAAGAGAATGAAAGAGGATCTGCAACAGGCAAATAAATTTTGGCAGCCATGGTTGGTATGGTAGGAGCAGTGTGCACTGGACACTAGAAAGAAGATGTACCATTAGAAGAGCAAATTCAACTGCAAGACTGGGTTTTTAGCCCAAAAAGTAAAACAAAAAACAAAGCCAGAAGAGAAAATATTCAGAGTTTCTAATTTAGATGCAGAAAGTGAAGAGATTTAGTATGAAGGTCTTCAAGAAAAAAACGTCATTAATTTTGTCCACAGGTCTCCATGGAGAACTCATACTGGAGCAGTGGAAAGCTAAAAGGGAGGCAGAAACTAGGCCGTAAAGGACAGTCTCCAAAATATATTGTAAAGAAACAAAAATCATTCCCTTGTCCTACCTGTGCACATAGGAATATGAAAACTGTTTATTTATACCTTTTAAGATTACTACCTGACTCCAACAAAGGAAATAAATGGTTACTAAAAACAGACACCACCTAATCACCTACAATTCAAATAGTACAATGGGAAGAACTATTGTTTCTTACTAAAATGAATTGACTGGAACAACCCCAAACACACATACATATTGCTTTGCAATCTCTTTCTTCTATTAGCAGAAAGGAAGTTTGAGATATAATTAAAAAGTTCCCAGTTCCCATACAAGTGGAGTCAATACTGTTCCACAAAATAAACGTGTTTATTGTTCCTGCTCCTATTAATTTCTGCAGCAAAATCTACACTGAAAGATCACTCCTCTGAAAAAGTGCTCATGTACGAGTTCACCCTAACTAATACAAGTTTGCACACAACTGCTACAGAAGACTTTTATCCTATACCCTGGCTCATGGGTGGCCACCACAGATCTCTCTCTCTTTTCTAACAATCTTTTACTCAAAGTAAATTGCTTATAGATTACATTGAGGATTGAATGGTTTAACTCATTTAGCAGAGAGATTAGATGCCTATCAATTTTAACCCATCCCACTTCAACTGAGAGACAATTTATTGCTTATTTGATAGACAGTTTATGATATACCAAAATGGAGATCACAAAAGCTTCTTCTCCCAACCAGCATTAGTTTGCAGAATTGTCTTTGTCCATTTAGTAGAGAAGTATCCACAGACTCCCTCCCATTCAGCTAGCAAGTACTTACCACAGGTCTGCTGGTGAATTATTTCAGTTGATAGCTAAACCAAGAATGGAAAATATTTTGGTTTCAAAGAGCCCAAATTAAACAGTTGCATTTCCAGGATAACCGGTTCTTTCACCTTTACATAAATTTCTAAACAAATCTATTTTTTCAAAATAGCAAAACTTTTGGTTTTGAAAAATTTGAAGTTAAATTCAGAGCTATATGAAGTTTTCTTCTTTTTATCCAATATTACAAACAGTTTTGTTCACTCTAAATTGTAATAATGTATACTCTGACTTTAAACTGATTTATGCTGCGAGAAAACAGAATAGTTAATCTGGGCCTGCTGCCAGCAATCCATAGCTGCAATACCTGTACTATAAGCAAATTTTTCTATGGTGGGTAATCCGTTACTTTTCACTAGCGCTTAATCCACCTTAAGGTCTTATGAGGTATGTAATCAGATAAATAATTTATATTTAAAAAGCATATATTAAAATGTTGCTTGCACTTATGCAACATTAACACATACACCAAGAGAACTCTTTCATACAGAAATGTTAATTTACAGACCAGTATATCTGTAGCTACGCAGGGCCATTGAGTCCCACTGTTATTTTATCTGTGAAACATATTAGAACATTTTTGAAAGATCTAAATTTAACAGAAAATTTCTTGTGGATTGTAATAATCATTTTACAGTACTTTATAAGGTTTAAGTAAAGGCTTAGGTGACCAGGATTTAAAAATATGGAAGTTGTGTTGTATCTGTATTTACAACATTTTTCAAAACCTGCTTTACCAGCTCAGACAAAAACTATGAATCTACATTTAGTCAGTTTTCTGAAGACTATGTTGAAATGACAATAACTAAATGCAGAATGATAGCTACCTGGCACTTTCATATTGTTTCACAGTCAATAAGGTATCCTCAATTGTTTTATTCACCAGCGTGTTCACACTAGCAATAAAAAAGTTAATAGCCCCAAGAAGGGTCTCTCCATTTTTAGCTAGAAGTTTCTGAGTGTCTGCGTTGTATCCGAACTCCTCCTATAACAAAAGCAAAAAAATGGTGTAGATCACTGAAATAAATTTAAACCAGGCACTGATTCACAAACATATAAGAAAACAAACATTTATCACTGACAGGGAAGATCACTTAAGTAATTTCATCACTTCTCTTGAGTGTGTGCAGGTTTAAACAAACGTGACTATAATCTAGACAACAAGCTAAGTTAACACGAGAAAGAATCACAACTAAAATTAAGTCAGCACAAATGGCCCCGCAATTCTGCTCTCAGTTATTCCCATGAAATCCCACTAACTAATGTCATCAGATTATGATCCAAAGCTTTGTAAAATACCAGATGTTTGGTACTAATTCTATTTTGGGATCTTAAGAGTTATGGAACTTGGCTAAACACTGTATCTGGTGTCTTTCACATAGCTGCTGGGTACCAATACTTTAGTACTAAGAAAGACATCAGCAAAAAAGGGTAGTATAAATACAGAGGGGCAAGTAGTATTGATTAGCAAACAAATTTATTTTTACATTACATTCTGAAACAAAGGGTTGGACAAATGCCAACATCTTTTTTATTTAAAAAAAGCTGCACATAAGAAAGCAGAATGTGCTGTAATAATAGATGATCTGATGTTTTAAGGGGCCAAATTATTGCCAAAGAGCACTGAAATCAAGTTTAGATATTAAATAAAAGACAAGCATAAATGTATTCAACAGCAAAAGCATTCAACAGCAGTGATTTTTTCCAGTGCATGGATACTACACAACAGTCTCACTGATATACTTATATCATCCATATGGTATTTTCATATTCTGCAGATTAAGCTTTATTAAAAAAGTAGGATTTCTAGCCATCACTGCTGTGGAGACAAAGTTCCATGTGTGAACTAGTGTAACTAATATAGAGTTTTCTTTCAGAGTCCAAAAATAACTGGCAACTGGTGCTGAAGTGTAAACTCTTCCAACTCCATTTAACCCAACTGGAATATTACTGGTTTTAGAGTTTACAGCATTTCATGTTAATGTTAACTGTTTGACCGCTGGTCATTCTGGTGGACTGAGTGGTGAGTGTGAAACCAACCAGGAAGAAGATGCACAGGAAGTTAAGAAAGAAGAAATACTGAAGAGGAATAGAGAGGATGTTAGGAAAAAAAAATTAAGGTACTAAGCTATGGAGACAAATTTGCCATGTCAGACAGGAGGGATTTCAAACATATCTTACTGCTTTATGCAGGCTTCCTAACCCACAAGCAGTGCAGTTCTTGTAGTACCACTAGTGCACTACTGAGCATAGGCAGGCTAGTTGACAGTGTCACTCAACAATGAAAATTAACATTTCCAAACTGCAGCACTCCCTGCTTCTGGTTTAGGAGGCAACCCATTAGAGCAGTGCAGCACGCTTATGGATGATGCTGTCTGGAGCAGCAAGTTTGCTATGTAGACAGGACATAAATTAAGAAATAGCAATGGAACTAGAAGGGCATACTAACCACTAAACTCAGTACCTTATTCTAACTAAGACTTTAATTACTACAGAAGGGACATGTTCTACCCATGATCTTTGTGTTTCTCTCTTATGAACAATGGCAAGTCCCCTCTGGATTGAGATTATTTATAAAAAATATATAAATTCATACATACACACACACATGATAATTTCAGCTCTCTGTATGTAAATGATTTGACATGCCTATTCAAGTAGTATGGCTTTGAAGATACTATACATACAAGAGAAATCTTTGAACTCAAACAATGAACGCAACAGAGCTCTAGATAACTAGTATTGTGCTTCTGAAGAACTAAGTTTATTAGAGCTATGTCACTCTTGACTTTTCACATGCTGGTTTGTTGCTGCTCGAGGTTAAAAATCAATTCTAAACAGTAACTTTTTAGATTTTTAACTTTTCTCCAGAACTTGTAAGGAAGTAAACAATGCTATCCAAAGAAGTTAGGCTTAGACAGCAGTAAAGCCCAATTAAAAATGGGCAAGCACAATGAGGAAACAGACAAACAGGCACCTCTTTAGGAGGCATAGGTGTTACAGAATTTTTATTAGTAGCAGAAACCTTTATTTGATTTTTTTCTTAAATGAACAGTCTTCTTCAATAATCTACACCAGAGATGACAGATTGAAACTGAAACAGTGAAAGATTCCAAGAATGGTACAAAAAGCTGGTAGAATCTGGAGAAATGTTGTTCCCAAGTACAAGAGTTATAAGGCTTTTAGGAGAATGAATGTGTTCAAAATGAATACTATGCCAGGATCAAAATTAGTGCAAGTTTCAGAAATAAATGCAACTCCAGCACATACTGCACTACATCATCTTGCATTCTACCACAATCCACATGCCCCATATTTGCATCAACAGTAAACAAATTGCTAAAAATGTATTGCACTTTTTTGGCAACATTTATGTGTGTTTTTGTTGTTAGAAGTGTTGAAAATATTAATTTGCCAAAACTCAATATTAAAAAGAACAAGTCTCCCCTAGAATGTGAAAAATGTACGGTATTGAGTTCTTCTAAGAAGCTAACAGTTATTTAGTGTACACATTAAACAAAAGTAATTAAGTGGGAATACAGTGATCACAAAGGAGGAGGAAGCAGAAGGGCAACAACCTCAGAATTTAATTGAGGGTGCTGCAATACTACATTTTTGGGAGTCCGCCTATACAATGTTAATGTATGGGCGATGACTTCAGATCCTAAGCTTGGTGGCAGGAGGGAACTGTTCTAGATACAGGAAGTAGCAAGGTCTGTGAGGAGACAATCCAGCCATACAGCCATAATATCTAGCTTCTCCCTCTTTATAACACACAGGATTGTATAATCACTTATAGCTGAGATACCAGAGTTATATAAAAATCCCAGAATAAGGGTGTCATGACCCAAAGGCATGATTTTGTGTGTGCTTCGGCACCAGAATTATCCCCGCCAAGTTGCAGAGCATTGCACGGGAGAGTTTCCTGTTGCAGAGGAAAACCCCGGTGCAGGGATGAGTTTCCCGCCTTTTCTGCAGCTTCTTTTGCAGGGTGCATTGCTCATGTTGCAAGAGGAATGCACGGTGCAAAAGAGTTCCCGCCACCGGTATGCAAATTCGTTCCTCGTGATTGGCTAGTGCTAAATTATTCACATGTGACAGCTAACGATTGGCCTGTTAGCCGTATAAAAGGCTTGAGCAGTTTCCGCCCAAGCCGAAGAGGACTCCACATCCATCTCGTGGGGACTCTGGGTACACGGCAGGGTAATAGAAACCCTGTGTGAGATCCAGAGGAGCTTGGCGGCCTGATCCACCGCCCACCTCTTCCCGTCTTCAAGCACAACTTTTATAAGTCGTATCTACGATTTCTATTTTGGTGGCTCGTTCACCCAGAGCATCCGGAGCTCTGCACCATGGAGCCTAGCAACCTCCACGAGACCGTCTGTGTTGTCTGTCTGTAACTGCAACTCAATCAAGTTTTCCAGCCTACACCACTGCCATCTCGGTGTAAGTAAACAATCTTTAAAACTACCGATACGCGTTTGTGCCTAATTCCAGCTCGACGGCCTTCCCTCTCCGACCCGGCATGCCCAGGCTGCTGGCCAACGACCACATGCAGCGCGGAAAAGGGCTCAGGTCGCTCACGGCCCGCACAAAGGGATCCTTCCAAACCTAAGATGTTAGCTATCTAAGGGATCATGCTTAAGTTGCTTGCTTAGAATCTGAACACCATAAAAGAAGCAGTTTATTACATGCAGGTTGCAAGGCTTTGTGAAACAACTGAGCAGAGCAATGTTTTATTCTCCCAAGGAAAAGTGATTCACTTGTATTCAACAGTGACTTCACCTCTATTGTATGAAGTCTGTTCTACCCTACTCCAAGGCATATACCCCCTTGGGTAATTGTAGTTTACAGTAAGTGATCTAGAACAATTTTGATGACATATTATTAATGACAAATTAAGTGCCATATGTGTTTAATGCACAAAGGAATGTGGTTTGTTAGCAGTTCCTGAAATCTAAGTTCCAATTCATGTCAGACATTTAAAAAAAATGCTCAACGACATTAAGTGTTCAACAACCTTAATATGATTTCAGTGGTTTCCTGTAGAGTCTCAAGTGAATTGTACAGCTTTTTTAAAGCAAGTTCAGTATTACAGACCTTAATGCTTAAGTCAACAGCTGTTATCTACAGTGCAGCATGCACCAGTTGGTCAAGTTTAACTTCATCTCCATCCTTTAAGTCATTTTATTTGCTAATACTATAAAAGTCTTACATGGAGTTCCAATGATTTCAAACTCAGGTCTGCAAATGCATCTCCAAGTTGCCTTTGGGTATGTACCATCTGGTAGAGCTGCGTGGACAAAGTCTGTGCCAGTTTCAAGATATTTTCATACTTTTTTTTGTTATCCCTTAGTATTTCTATTTGGGCTTCCAGTTCCAGGTCTACGGTTCTTGAGCCACGTCCCAACCTTTCAGAGATGATCTGACGAGTACACTGCAAATTCATAACAAATAGTTTAAATTATAATGAACTCAAAAACGTATATTCAAGATAAAAAACGTATACCCATTCTTGGCTTCAAGGAGCATGTAATTAGCAAGCACTTCTTTCACAACAACCCCTCCCAATTTAAGTTTGCACAACAAACTGAAGCAACATCTCAGGCTCTGCAGAGGTTTATCAGGACTCAGCAAGAACAGCTGGACAAGTCTCAACTCCTACCAATACAAATATTTAACAAATCAAGAGCAGAACTAATTGTTTTGAATGACAGATCTCAAGTGACTTCTTAGGGCTGGTGAGTCTCATTAAGTAAAAGCAACTATTATCCTGTTCAATAAATGCAAATCAGTATGCTGACTTTATTAAAAACAACTGTTACTGATTTTATGTTAAGTATCTACAAAACAGCCATTCCATCTTCAGTTGCCAATATCCAAGCCCATAGGTATTGCCCACTTAAAGACCCAAACCAACCAAATTTACCATAATAGGATAATTTTACTAATTTTTGCATTTTTTAAAGCCAGTCGGCAACTTTTTGCTGAGAAATATACAAAGTATCTTGAAATTGCACTTGATTGCATCAGATTATAGAAAAACACTGGTGAGAGCACAGAATACTAGAAATGCTCAAACTTCAAGAGTTGCAAACTGGCACAGGACTAAGCCCCTGATCCGATTTGCAGCCCATTAATGTAATAAGCAGCAAATGTAGCACTTGGAAAAATAAAAGAATACCCAACGGTAAAACAAAATGCTCTGTTTATTGAGATTTCACCATTTTAAAGTGAAGTTTAAAGTAGTAAGTCTGTGGCCCAGAGAGAAAAGGACTTTTTAATAGGGCAAACAGAATGGAATGGAAGAGTGAGTTTGCCATTAAGAGAGTCATGAAGGCTAAGTGTAAACAGTCAAAATATCCAAGGCTGATTTGATTCAGGCTTTCCAGGTTAGTCTAAGCTGCGTAGATTGAAGCAATAATGAAGTGAACCAACATTTTTCTATGACTCTGGAAATGCAGACACATGCCTTCAATGGCCCAGGCCAGAAGCTGGGAAGGAGGGGACAAGGAAACGCTAGAGCATGCCTCCCTGCTCGGCTGGAGCTGATACCTTGGGCCAAGACTAGCCCATCCACCCTGCAAGATGGGGTTTGTGGGGAGGTGCAAAGCATCCTGGGGTTCTGGGGGACTGAGTTAACTTGAATCTGGAGGGGATCTGGAACAGAAGCTCAATAAACTGATTCAAGCTAAATTAGTTAAGTCTGATCCTACATCTATCCAGGTTTATTTTAAACTAGCTTTGGCCATTTTGGAAGTGGTTTATGTGCAGTGAACTTCTGTTTATGTTACAGATTTGAACCAGTTTCCAGTCACTTATACCGGTTTATGTGTAATTTCTGTCCCTAGTCAAAGAGAACAATATGGTCAAGGTTACAACTATACTGACAGAAGTAAGATCTGATTACAGTAGTGTAGTCTCACAGGATAAATGGCTCCAAATCCTATTTTAAATCATATTCATAAAATGTATAAAACTAATGGACTTTCATGATTAAAATGGATTTGCAAAGTATTCACTGTGTGATCTAGCTGATATGTTAAGATCAGCATTTTAGCAAAGACCCAAAAAGAACGTATCCATCTTTCAGACACTCAGGAGTTCCCACTAAGTTTATACTCTTATGCCAGAGAAGTATTTCTATCATTGTCAATTTAGATGACACCTGTAAATGGAGAAGTCTAGGCAAATGGTGGATAATCTTGAAGGTACAAAATCAGTGGAGTATAGGTAGATTCAGTCCATGGATTATTATTAAATAAGCCAGGCAGGGAAGAATTTTCAGTTAGAAAATAAAGGCAATATGCTCCCATTTCTAAGAGAGTGCAGGAGAAAAAAATGCTCAAAAAGCATGACATTACCACAAAGCCCGTAAAAGGAAATGCAGTAGTTTAACTAGAATGTGAGGCAGAGTATGAATAACGCTTCACTAGGAGCTTGGTACAAGTGAGGATGAGCTCTGGCTATTTTCCAGAGATGGTGATATGCAATCACACAAACAAGGGACCTGCAAGAGGAAATCTGAGTCAGTGCTGACAAGATTTTGGGAGTGAGTGTAAGTTACAAGCTAAGGAGATTTGTCAAGCCTGACAAAAGGCTTTTATTTTAAAATCAAGGCGGACTTTGAAGCATTTATTTGCAGGAACATAGTTTATCAAGAAACTAAGAGGCAACATTCATAAGTTAGAAAAAGGAATCGAAAAGTAAGCTGAGGTTTGAGTAAGAGTGGTGCCTGAAGTTTAAGATACCCATCTCCTAACCTGAGCTTTCTCTAGGGTATAAACTGTATACAGAAAAGGTTAAAAAGAGAACCTTGAGAAGTTTCTCATTGTATTTCTCCTTGTCTCGAGTGGATTAGGTACAGACGTGCGGGCTACTCTAACCAGTGGATGGAGACAAGAAATTTTAGTATTTTCAAGTTCAGGTACCACCTATAAAATAGAAATCTAAGAAATCTGTTCCAAGTTGTAAAAAAAGCTACGTGGTTTAGTGAGAAAAAACAAGCCAGAAATAAAACCATGACATCTTTTATATATAAAAGGATAAAGAGCACACCAATGGTGAAAAGTTTTTCTTAGCATTTCTCAGAAACAAGCCAAAGTGTCAGACTGCTTTAGAAAGTGGATATTCGAGTCATCGCATCACCTTCAGTGAGTTCACAGGGTATATAGACCCATGGATCAGGAGGTTCAAACAAGCAGTACAGACTATCTCGAATTAAAGTGCATCTCAACTACAAGGATTCCTAGCTTCTTTCAAGTGAGCTGGCTTAGCCCTGATTTTAGTGCAGGAGGGGCTCCAGAGGAAGCAAGAACCCCACAAACATGAAAGTGAATCTGATTCCCTGAAAGCAGCTGAAAATGGTTTTCAAAAATAGGGAAGTTCATAAGAGGTAAATTGCATAGAAATAAGTACAAGGCATCAAGTGAGACAACCAGGGGACTTAAGCCAGATTTATTTCTGTATAGTCTTCTTTCGAAGGGCACTGGGTAGAGCACAAATTTATTCTACTTTTGTATATATCTAAAACCAAAACAGCAGATTAAATATCTCTAGCAGTGTCTTCACTAGGGAAGCTGACTATTTTTTAAAAGTTTCAAGTCTAGAACTGGACTATTTAAAATGAATGGCAGCTGTTAACATCAAAGAAAACCAGACCACTCAAACGATGCAAAACACTAGCCTGCAGTCTAGATATCAAGTAATAGAACTTTTGTCTGCGACTCTTGTAGGTATAGAAAATAAGGTGTTCACTTTTGTCCAGTGACTCGCAATTGGTTTCTTGCATTTAACATTCTCTCTCTCTCTCTCTCTCTCTCTCTCTAGGTACCACATCCAAATAGGACACTGGTCTTCTACTGATCTCTTCTCTTTGATTAAGCTCAAATTTCTCTATTTTATCTACTTTTCTGATACCTTCCCCCTATTTGGCTCCACTGCTTAATCTCGGTAATACCTGTAATGGCAAACTGTCTGAAAGTCTTCCTTCACCACCTCTACAGCACTCTATCAACACCACCTTTGCTGCAACTGCACACATGATTTCACCTACTCACCTTTGATTTGCAACTCCCTTCCTTAAGGCGTACCCCTTAGTCCCAGCTCTACAGATTTTTGGATGTGAAGACTGCTTCTTCCCTCCTTTTCACATGTACAAACAAACTTAACCACAATCACACAACTCTCAGTACTCCATTTATTCTCCATTCAGAAGATATGGACAAATGTACACTTGGAGCACCTTCCAAAGTAGAGGAGGATCCAGTGCTTGGGAGTATGAAGCAGCTGCTAGGCCCCCTTCAGAAATGGTCTGTTCAAGTTATTAACCATAGATCATGCCTTTTTAACCTGCTCTGATAAACTTATTAGTTATGAACCCAGAACAATTAACACCTTTTTTTTTTGGGTAGCACTACTAAATTCAGGAGGCCACATATTCAAAAGCCCCCTGGATGGAGTGTGAGAGTTGCCACATAAGGCACACTTTACAGCTGGGGGGAATAGGAGCCTGCACCAGATCTTTAAAGGGTGTGCAAGCAGCCCAGTAAATGAGCAAGTAAGCAGCTCCCCAATCTAGGACACCCAGGTACCTTTAAAGGTCCCAGTGTCTGGAGCAGCACCAATCTAGCAGGGAAGGTAGGGTGCGGGGATCAGGAGGGGAAGCTAATAGGATTGTCTGCCCCTGCCTAGTTTAATCTGTGTCAATATAATTTGATACTATACTTTCTATTATTAACTCAAGGTCTTCCAGATATCCATAGCCAAAATTTTGTCATATAATTTCATTTGCAGTATGTCTTAGACAAAGAATGGGCTGTTTAAAAAAAAAAAATCACCAAACAGGACCCTTGATTAAATCATCTATTTGAAATCTTGTTTATAGTTCTAAATTTTAGTTATTTCCTAAAAGAACGTTACTAGCCAACAAGAATCAGCCTATCAAAAAAAGTTTATTTACAATAAAATACAATCTTTGCTGAAATCTGGTATGTTTCTAATTAGGAGGGTCACTATGTCCACTTATACTTACATGTATGCAGAGACAGATATTCACCACTTCATTCAAATTCTAAATTTTCACATGTTATGGTACAAAATGGAAAATGACATTAATTTACTAAATGATGACTGATTCTGTTGTATATGATGTATGTCAAGCGCATGGAAGGAAGTTAGTGTTAAAATGCACAAAACATTTAAAAATGTTTATCAGTGATCTGAAACTAGCTTAATTCTTTTGGGTTCTTAAGAAGTCAATTTTATCAAAGCAGGTTACAAAGGCATGATCTATGGTGAATAACTTGAACAGACCATTTCTAGCCTGCCCTTTATCACTTTAGAATTACTAATCCTACCTTATCAGTAGGGATCCTGGTTTTCTCTGATTTAAAAAAATGCCCAGTTTTAAGATTTAAAAAAAGTAACCCCAAACCACATTTTTCCATGATTAAAATAAAACACCAATATATATAGTAGTGTTCCATTTTAAAATCACAGAAAAACGTGGATTTGATGTTACTTTTTTTTAAATCTGAAAATTAGAGATTTTTTTAAAATCAGAGAAAACTCATCCCTACTTCTCAGACCTTATTTTAATTGATACATTGAACAAGAAAAGGTTTCTCAGATTTTTCAGTTCCCAAACACTCTCTCAACTTTGAATGAGGTAACCACCTAAAGAACTAATGGAATAGACTGAAAAAGAAAGTATTTTCTGCATGAAAAGGGGCAACTGCTCTCAACACTTGAATTAATATTTCAAAAAGATTCCACGTGTTCAGCTGCTTTGCTACTTCCCTCTCAGTTCACTGGTTAGGCTTAGTTTGGATTTCTTTAAAATTCTTGAAAATTAATTAAAGTGCTTTTTGAGAATCATATAAAATTAGGGTTGAAAGGGACCTCAGAAGGTGATTTAGTCCAACCCCCTGCTCAAAGCAGGATCATCCCTAATATTATATCAGTGCCAATCCAATATGGGACTATGTATAGGCAGAGCTGTCCGTAGGGATGTGCGGGGCCGGGGGCATATCAGCCTGTACGAGGCCCAGGGGGTGGGGGTGGCGAGCAGCACTGGCAGAGCGGTGGGGGGCAGTGGTGAATGGCAGAGCTGGTGGTGCTCAGCAGTGGCGGGGGGTGGGAGGCAAGGGGGGGGGAAGG